AATCTGGCACTTCCTGCAAAGATCTCGAGAACGTGGATCTTTCCCTTACGTACACAATGCTTGTTCAGGAATGGATGTGAGGTCCTCGACGAACATGTTCTCTGCTGGATGAGGTACTGCAGGTTTTGGAGTTGTTTTTCCCGCGATACGTAATGGCACTGAGGATCTTGCCTTAGGAGCTGGTGCGGATGATTCCTTTTGCTTGGTATCTACAGAGGAGCCTGGTTGCTCCTTCTGCAAGGATTCTCGCTCTTCAGGTAACAGAAGGTCAATTCCGGGTTTCCCCGGAGGGATGGTCTCATCCTTCCTGAGCTTCGTCATGTTAACCTTGATGAGTCGAGTCCCAAGATCAAGTCCTACCATCGCTTCTTCAATGGAAATGACTTTTCCTTTTAGCCATATTCCTCCCTTGCTTCCATCGGAACGAATCTTGGATTTGTCTTCCTGCCAGTAAAATTCCTTGTCCTTCACCTGAAGAGGCTTTGAACTCATTCGGAGATTTTGAGCAAGGTCTCGTCGGATGTCCTCGGATTGACGTGCTTCTTGGAAAGCTTGCTTTGACAGCTGCTTTATCTGGATGGCTGTCATCTCTTCCTCATTCCTGTCAATCGTCAACTGAGTTGGAGTTGCGACATCGAGTTGGATGAGATCTGCTGGTCGTCTTCCGAATGCGAGCTCCAATGGTGTTACTCCCCCGTAGGTGACGGTCTGATTCCTGACAGTTGCAGCGGCCTTCACCAGTTGCCTATAGGTCACTTTCTTCAGTGTTGCAGGTGCAGTGCCTGCTTGAACTGCTGCTTCAGCTCGATTTGGCCATGGTGTATTTGGTCCCAGAGATATCGGAGTGATGTCAAGTGACTGATAAAAATGTTCCCATGTATCTGTCATGAAGGCTTGATCTGCGACAACTTAATGCGATCAAGTCGCCAAACGTCTTGACTTCGCGACCTTGATCTGATGAAATGTCTCATGCTAGTTGCCACCCACATGGTGATTGCCCAGTGTGCATGAAGGACGGAAGCTGCTGCTCCACGTCCAAGACGGCGAGCCAAGCATGGAAGCTTTCTCTTTTGTTGAGCTACTGGATATTCATGGCGCCCTTGAGGTCAAGCAGGTTGCCGCCAAAGTTCGGCCGCTTGCTCTTCGCTGATGCGTGGAGCCAGGCCCACAGAAGGGGGGCTGCAAGTGGTACTGGTCAAAATAGTTCCTGAGGACAGTGATGTTCTCGACTTCTTGCGTAGTTGTCACTGCCTCTGCAGTGAGCAATGTTGTTGCTCCGTCCAGGATGACAAAAACAATGATGTGTTCTCCAGTTCCAAGAGGAACTTGACAGTGATCAAAGAATGTCATGTCACCAAAGGTGTCCGCTCGAAGTCCGCTTGTCTTGCTTCGTGATGGTGCATGTTTCGCCACTTGGCAAACTTCACACTCACTTCGGATCTTGTCAAATAGATCGAATGTTGATTTCGGCAAATGAAGTGCTCGGGTTCTAAATCGAAATTGATCTGTGGTCATGTGATGATGCTGCAGATGGAGTTTCTTCAACTCTTCTGGATTCGACAATCGCTTGTGGATTCTGCCTAGGGCAAGCGGAAGCGATGTTGGTTCTTCTGAGGATGGTGCGAAAGGATCTGGCTCAATAGTCGACTGGCCCCTCTTGTCGATGATCCAGCGAATTGTCCGAGAAGGTGAAAATGGTCTTACCTATCCACAGGTTAATCATCGGTTTATTTGCCTGGGATGTAAGTCTCCAATTGTCTTCCAAGATGTCTGGATCTCCACCTGCGGATGCATCAATGATTTCCGTGGTACGTTCTCGGCTGATGTGATCAGGATTGATTGGACATTCCTTGGCTCCATTTGGTGTGAACAGCGCCTTTCGGGGCGTAATGTGCACACGGATGAGCTGCTTGTCTTGTCAAGGATCCAACGGTCCTGCTTTTGAGACCCAATGATCTTAAGAGTTGCTAGGTCCTCCTTTGTCTCGGATGATTTTGCTGCACAAACAGTTTCGCTCCTGGTGAGCTCCCCGGAGGGAAATTTGATGCTGTTATCATCGTCATAGACATAGTTTGTGAGGCCCTTGTGAGCAAATTCTCCATGTGCCTTCACTCTTGCAACTCCACCGAGATCGACGAGTGCATTTCCTGCACCGGATACTGGAACTGCTTGACGGTTCATGCCAAAGGCCTTGCATGTGATCTTGTCACATTGAGGTGTGTGCTCGATGGTCATGTAGAGGTTCCGCATCTGGCTGATGCTGAGAAGGATCGGTACAGTTCCTCGTTCAAGGATGTCGATGTTCGTACTGCGTGGAGGTGTTGTGTGATATCGAAGATGCAGGGTCCAATTTACCCTGGCGGTCTCTCCGTTTGCAAGAGTAAACTTGGTCTCGGCCGGGATGTACTCGTAGGAGATGATGTCCTTCATTGGTTCGATTGCCTGGGTAAAACGCTGGATTGCATGCCAGCTGCCCTTGGATATATTGTCTGAGGACTGTAGGACGTCCTCATTTAGCAGGGCTGGAGGCGGTGCTCTTCTTGCATTTGCGTCCTCTACGGACTGTCGAAATGATGGAGACTGTGCCGTAAAGATTGGCATCAAGTCCATCCATGCTGCCTTCAATCTCATGAGAAGGATTTCGAACTTTGAGGTAAAAATGAGGGACTCTTGGTTCTGCCTTCTGTGGTTGAAGAAACTGAGGAGTCTGTACAGATACACGTTGGTCGCACCTTTCAAGAAGTACTTCTTCAGCGTGTTCTTGAAATAGTTGACTCCTTCATCAGGATCTTGCAAAAGGTCATTTTGGAGGCCGTGTACATGTAAGCATCTCCAGCGAGTCTGCTCTGAAGCAATGGACCTCGGCTGCTTCTACTGTGGTGATGGTCACCCAGTCGTCCACGAGTTCTTCACACCTGAACCAGCTGACTTTTCCGTCGTACGATGGCGGCTGCTTGGCGGTCATCGATAAATTAAGTGTTTCCTCCGTGTAGCTCGGCTTTGCCGAACTTGTATAGGCTTCCATGAAGCCTTCTCCATCTGATGACATCTTCCCTTGGATCTTTGCGGAAAACCCGCTCCGCTACCACAAATTGAGGCCCGGTCGTTGTTGGTCCCTGGATCTATTCCGGAGAGAGTCCAACATGCCAGTAATGGATGATTGGAGGATGGATTGTCCCTGGTGGATTGTCTTGTGGATAACCTGCAGTGGCTCTTTTGTCCTCACGCTCGGATGGTCGTGATTATGCAAAAGGGGCCTTGAGCCAAATGTTGCGGGAGATCAATGGTCTGGAAAACAGAACACAGGGGGGGGGAAGGTCTTAGGAAGGAAAAGGGAGAAGCTCTCAGGCGGGGAAAGGCCTTGGGGGGGAAAGGGTGGGACGGATCTCAACAGGGAAAGCGGGGAAACAACCTTAGGAAGGAAAAGGGAGAAGATCTGGAAAGGCCTTAGGGGGGAAAGGATCTCAACAAGGAAAGGGGGCAAAAAATCTTAGGGAGGAATAGGGAGAAGATCTCAGCTGGGGGTAAGGCCTTAGGGTGGAAAAAAGGATCTCGACAGGGAAAGGGGGGGAAAGATCTCAGGGAGGAAAGGGAAAAGATCTCAGGGGTGGGTTAGGGGGGAAAGGGGGGGAAAGGGAGGAAAATGGAGAAGATCCTAGGAGGGAAAAGGCCTTAGGGGGGAAAGGTGGGAAGGATCTCAACAAGGAGAGGGGGAAATCATTGGAAACAACTTAGAGGGAGAAAGGGCCTTAATGGGGAAGGGGGAATGGATCTCAACAGGGAAAGGTGGCGAAAGATCTTAGGGAGGAAAGGGCAGACGATCTCAGGGGGGAAGGCCTTAGGGGGGAAAGGGGGGAAGGATTTCAGCAGGGAAAGGGGTGGGAAAAGATCTTAGGGAGGAAAGGCAGAAGATCTGGAGGCAAAGGCCTTAGTGGGGAAAGTTGAGAAATGATCTCAACAGGGGGAAAGGATCTCAACAGGGAAAGGGGGCAAAGGATCTTAAGGAGGAATAGGAAGAAGATCTCAGCGGGGGGAAGGCCGTAGGGGGGAAAGAGGGGAAAGGATCTCAACAGGGAAAGGGAAAGGGGTGGAAAAGATCTTAGAGAGGAAAGGGAGAAGATCTGGTGGAAAAAGGCAAACAGGGAAAGGTGGCCAAAGATCTTAGGGAGGAAAAGGGAGAACATCTCAACGAGCACCTGTCCCCCCTAAGGCCTTTTCCGACCCTGAGTTCTTCTCCCTTTTCCTCCCTAAGATCTTTCCCCCCCCTTTCCCCCAAAGGCCTTTTCCCCCCAAGATCTCCACCCTTCTCTTCCCAAAGTCTTTTTCCCCCTTTCGCGTTTGAGATCCCGTCCCATTCCCCCAAAGAAAGATTCCCCTTTTCCTCCCAAAGATCTTTCCCCCCTTTTCTCCTAAGGTATTTTTCCGATCTTCTCCCTTTCCTCCCTGAGATCTTTCCCCCCCTTTCCCTGTTGAGATCCTTTTCCCCCTTTCCCCCCTTCATTTCCGGATGTTCCTGCACCAGCATGGGCAACATCCCCAGCATCACTTGCATCATCCGCATCCTTGGCAGGCGCTGATGCGGATGCAGGTGATGCTGGCGATGTGCCGCTGGAGCTGCTAAGGATGCGAAAGCGGACCCGGGGGGAATCGAACACCCCAATGTTTTTGACAAACTGAGTTGCGCAAGCCCGCACAATGAACACATTTAGTGAAGCGTCTTCGAAGCGTGGTATAGTCTGTGGTGCCCCTGGGGAGGGGTAAGGGGGGTAACAGGTAAAGAGGTAAGGAGCATTTCTTATGTCTGTGTGTTGTTGGCGGATATGAGACCTGTTTTCTATTGTCCATAAATACTGAAGTCCTTAAACCCACTTCCTGAGTCGTTTCTTTGACCCCGCTCGGCTTTCTCTTCAAGTTACGCATCTGTCGCGGTGAAACCTTTATGCGCTGAACTGAAGTGCTTCTCCAGGAGAGTTGGGCGCTCTAGTCTATGTCACGCGCAGGCGCGAAGCTATTCGCCGCTGGGCCCCACACCGGCAGAGCGGCAGGCAGGCGCTTTGATCTGCCTCACAGTCATTCCCACTCACCCATTTGATCAGGACATGGAGAGGGCCAAGGAAAAGAAGGAGGACTTCCTGAAATTATGTCAAACCAAGTCAGCTTCAACTTCTCAGGAGCCGAAGGAGAAGGAAGAAGAGCGAGAGAGGCGAGTCCAAGCGAGGTTGCAAAGGTTTGATTTCTTGAACGTGTGAGGAGCCGAGATCGAAAGCGGAGGAGCAGGCTGCACTGACTGCAGTCAATCACCAATGATTTCAACGGGATCACATTGCACACATTGCTCCGTTGCCCACATGGCACACATTGCACACCTGGCTCCTTTGCCCACATTGCGCACCTTTCACACATTGCCCGCATTTCACTCACTGCGCACGTAACGTTGCCAACATTACCCACAGCGCACACATTGCTCCATTGCACACATTGCCCACAAGGCACACATTGCACACATTGCTCCATTGCCCGCATTGTGTGCATTTCCTTTCCCCACATTGCCAACATTCCACGAATTTCTCCATTGCCTGCGTTGCACAGATGACACACCTTGCTCCTTTGCGCTCGCATGGCAGACATGGCTCAAGCTGCACACACTGCTCCATGTCACCCGTTGTAAACGTTGCTTCGTTGCACACGGCTCGCATTTGCACACATTGCCCACATTGCTCCATTGCACACGCTGCCTGCAAGGAACACGTTGCACACGTTGCCCACAAAGAACTCATGACACAGATTGCTCCCTTGCCCACAAGACACACGTGGCACACATGGCACACGCTGCGGACAACCGCACAGCGCGCACATTGCGCACATTGCTCCCTTGCCCACATCGCATTCCACATCGCATTGCAGTCATTTCGTCCTTTGCCCACATTCCGCACGTTGCTTCTTTGCCCACATGTCACGCCTTGCACACCTTGCTCCGTCGCGCGCATTGCCCAAAAGCCCACATTGCACATAGCGCTCCATTGCCCACGTTGCGCGCAATGAGCTTTAGAGCATCCAGCTCAGCGCGCCGACATTTCGCCTCTGCGTGTTAAGCTAAGGCAGGGTTTGCGTTGCGTCAATTCTCCCACCTTTATTTTCGTGTTCTTCCCCTTCATCACCCCAATATTGCGATTTACCCCTTCAAATCGCACGCGGCCCCGTTTTCCTATTGATGTCCCCTTCATTTCCGGCCATTTCCCGACATCTCCCTTCGTTTCAGTTCATTTCCCCTTCACTGTCTTCATCTCCCTTCATTTCCCCTTCATTCCCCCTTCATTTCCCTTTCAGCTCCGCTTCGCTTCGTTGCCCACGTTGCGCGCGTCGCGCGAGCGTTGCGCACGGTGCCCGTTCGGCACACATTGCACACACTTGCCCATTGCCCACATTTCGCACATTGCCCACGCCCGCATTGCACTCATCGCCCACAGGCAAGCGTTGCCCACAAAACATGCGCACGCAGACATTGGGCAGTTCCTTTGGCCACAACGCACATTGCTCCATCGCAAGTTACCTTGCGGGCCATTGTGTGCCATGTGTGCTCTGTGTGCAATACGTGCAGCGTGGGCAAAAGAGCAAGAGCAACGCGTAAATTGCGCAATGACCGCAGCGCGCAACGCGGGCAATGGAGCAATGTGTGTAATGCGTGCAACGCCCGCCTCATGGGCACGCCAGCCGGAATCCACGGGAATTCCCCCCTTTTGCAGGTGTCTTATTTCGCGGCGACAGCTCCGTTTGTTCTGAAACATCCGCGACGCATGTTCCTTCAGCGCAGGTCACGGTCGAGAAGGCGAACCTTGGAAAGCGCAGAGGCGTTCATGGCATGGCAGATGCCAGGCGTGACCGTGACTGAGCCTTTTCATCGCGGCGCAGTGATTATGGCGCACTAAAGCAAAGAAAAGCGCGTTTGCACTGTTTTGCCGGTTTGTGCGTATCATATTCCAGCTCTGACGTTGTTTGCATTTGCTCAAGCGCGCCTGCTGTCAAGTTGATTGCTTGGAGGCGGTCGTTCTTGCACTTTGGCGTTGAGAACCGTGGAGAGTTGTTTTTCGAGGCAAAAAGATTGCTCATGCCACAGGGCAAGAATGGGCACAATCCTCAATATCGGTGTTGAATTTGAAGCGTGCCATCGCTTGTCAAGGCGGAACAAGCTCTTTGTGCGAGATGTCGTCCTGTTCTGGGTGATGTGCCGCTTCCTCGTCCGATCGAAGGCAAGGCAAACACCCTCGCGGCCCACGCTCTAAGGCGGAGGCCTTTGTGTGCTTTTCATCAGGACGGGGACGGGGCTCGCTAAGCCCAAACTTCTAGTGCACGCGCGGAGGCTTTTTTTTGGCCCTACCTGCTTCAGACAGCTGAGCGAGACAGCGTCCTTTGGATCCTAAAGCTTGTCGCATCGGCAAGTCAACAAGATTTGCTGATGCATTCAGAGAAACATTGCCAAAGAGAAAAAGACAGTTAGATACAAGGTTAGCACGCGTTCAGCAGCATGGTGGAACGCTTAAGTTTGCGAGGCACTTTCGTGGCTGTGGGCTCAAAGCTCGACGGGGAAGACGCTAGCCAAACAAGTAGACGATAGATCGGTCTGCGTTGCCAAGCCCCTGCCCGCGGTTCCGTTGCCCCGGCCCCTTTTCCCTCTTTCTGTTCCGTGTGTAATGGAGCCGGTGCCAAAGCGACGTTCTGAAAAACAGGCGCGGATTTCAAGCGAACGCAATTCTCTTTGTCTTTTTCTTTCTGTTTTGTTTTTTGTTGTTTCTCTTTGCTTTTCTCTTCTCATGGCTTGATTTTGGTCTTTGTTTGTTTTGGTTTGCTTGTGTTGCGTTGGGCCTTATGTTCATTTATTGTTATTAATGGTTTGCAATATTTGCTTGTCTTGTTTTAATTATCTTTGTTTGCTTTTTTGGTTGAGATTTGTGCTTTTTATATTTAAGTGTTTTAAGGTCGCTTGTTTTTGTATTACAGTTTTGAGATAGGTTTGGTTTTAACGATAGTTGTATAGATTAGATTTTGTTTTAGATGTTTGCTTCTTTATAAATCTTGATTTATTTATATATATATATATATATATGATGTTGTTGCGGTATTTGGTTTTTGTGTTTAGTTCACGTATTGTTTTATCATCATGCATACGTGCCGTATGGCCGTATGGCTCAAGTTTAAACCTCCTGTCAGGGATTTCTTGGACTCGCACGGCGGCCTGCATCATCATCAGGAAAAGGTCCTGGTCCTGCGGCCGGTGGCTGGTCGTCGAGGACTTCCTGGGCCTGGTTCTGAACTTTGCTTTCTTGTTGCAACTTGTTTTCCATTTAACCCCCAAACAACCTACTTTCTTACACCTGTCACGTCCTACAACCTGGTCATCCCTTCTCCATTTTGTGTTGGGACTGGGTTCTCTGGCCCCGCAAAGGAGTCCTGAGCCTCAGCAAGGGAATCCAGGTCACCGCACCCACGCCGGAGCCGCTGGGCCGATACCGCCTGGGGCAACATCATCGCCCATCATCGGACGGGCCACGACGAGGGAAGTTGCCGGTCAGTATCCTGGCCATCTCCATCAAGGAGGTATTATCACTGGGCATGTTGAGCATGGAACGACACACGGAGTTATTTGCGGGAGATATGGATCAGGAAGCGCCGCGAATAGTCAACATATTCCGCATCCAGTCCGTCCCTGAACAGACCGGGTTCTCCCTTTTTTTTGGCTTGGCGCAAGTGGGCAGGGCGCCAGCGTTGGTGACGGCGTAGAGGGTTTGCCCCCGTTGCAACATAAACGTTAAATCCAACGTTCCTGGCATGCCTCCCAACTTCCACACTTGCTCTATGTGTCGCACCTCTCTCTGCTCCGCTTGCTGCCCCCCATCGTCTGGAAACTGTTCTCTATGTGCTATATCTATTGGCAGGGATTGCGTTCTTCCTCATCATGTTTTTCGTAACGGGGTGGAGGGAGGGAGGAAGGAGGGAGGGAGGGAGGGAGGGAGAGAGGAGGAAAGGAAGGAAGGAAGGAGGGAAAGGAAGGAAGGCAGGAAAGAAGGAAAGAAGGAAGGACGGGAGGAGAGGAGGAAGGGTGGAAGGGAGGATTGGAGGATGGGAGAAGGGAGGAGGGGACGAAAGGAGGAAAGGAGGGAAGGAGGAAAGAGTTAGGGAAACAAATCAAGGAAGGAAGGAAGGACGGAAGGAAGCTAGGATGGAAGGAGAGATGGAAGGAGCGAGGAGGAGGAAAGGAGGCGAAGGGAAGAAAGGGAGGAATGGAGAGAGGGAGGAAGGAAGGAAGGATGGGAGGAAGGGAAAGAGAGGAAAGATGGGAGAAGGAACGGGGAGCGAAAGCGGAGGAAGGGAGGGAGGCAGAAAGGAAGGTTGGGGT